AGCGATTTCATATGTTTTGGAAAAAATAAAACAAGTATGAATCTGTCTCGCCAGCCGAGATAGTCTTGCTGTCTCGCCAGCGAGACCAGTCTTTGCTGTCTCAGCCAGCGAGGACATCTTTTGCTGTCTCGGCCAGCGAGACAGTCTTTGCTGTCTCGCCTAGCGAGCAGTCTTTAGCTGTCTCCGCCAGCGCAGACAAGTGTTGAAATAGTCAAAACTTACATTTGCTAACTGCCCTACACGTGTCCATTAACTCCAAGGGACGTGGGGAAAATCATGGTCGAAAATCACGTGCGATAACTTGCCAACAATAACGCGAGTTTTGAAAACGTGGTGAGAACAGTTACAGCGAGAAACTGCCCATTTTCCGAGACAGCATTTACTGTTTCTCGCCTGAGCCGAGACAGCCAAATTTACTGTCTCGGCGCGGTCGAGACAGTAAACGCCTGTCTCGCCAGCGGAGACAGTAACACATGTCTCGCTACTGACTTCTATGATTGACTGAGTTTTCTGCAGTTACAGACCCTTTGAGGCTATAAATACCCCCCCTAGGCGTCACTTTGACGGGATCGAGCATTTGTTAGACATTCCAGAGCACGAGAAGGAGCAGCAGATTGAGTTCTTTTTTCTTGCAAACGCCTTTGCAATTAAGCTTCGACTTGATTTAGCAGGAACGTGATTCTTACTTCCGATAAGATATCGTATTCAATTTCTTACTTCGATAACGAAGTTAGGAATCATAACCCCTCTTCCGATCTGCTGATATCGGCGGTCCGACGAACCAAAGCGTTCCCGCGCACAGGCCAAAGTTCCCACGAAACGAGAATGCCCATAGACGATTTCGTCGTTTGTTTTTCTAAGAGTTTGTAATTTTTGTTTTGTTGTGTAGAAAAAATTCTTATAAAAAGATTATATCTTCTTCGAAATTATGTTGTAATAGAATAAATTATAATGAATTCCACAGCAGGATTTTTGAACCAAACAGCTGGCGACCACAGGGGAACCAGGCGCGTCTCGCTGCCGAGACCGCCGGGTGTCGCCAACGATCAAGATCATCATCAATGAAGAGATCGAATACGAATTCGATCAGACGAAGTTTGGAGAGTATTTATCAAATCCTCATCCGCACGAAATTCTTCCTCGTCTCGGCAAATATAGAGAGATTTCGAAAACTTTCAAGTCTCCCAAATTCCAACGCGAGGGCCGCCAGACAAGGATTCTGCGCCTCGATCGTTGTTAAGGCAATCTCTTGGCAATCGTCCCTGCTCAAAACGACTCTGACACCAGTTACGGAGTCGTGATCAATAGCTCACCGGTGCTGACGAAAAGATCTGTCTAGAGACAGCCGCAGCGCCGTGCCTCGACAATGCGCTAAAGCCATGCAACAAACGATGGGCTCCATACTATGCGGACCTAGAGCTCGCACTGAAACAGAAAGCGGTTCAATTGGCCCAACGGCAAAATAATGTATTTCTGCAAAAACTTACGACGGAGAGAGGAGCTTGGACATTCGTCAAAAGGGCCGTTCGAACCCTTTAAGGAACGGATACAAAGGCGTTAAGGCGAATCGCATGCCCAAACTCGCGCTCTTCGTCAACAAACGCCCAAAGAACAAGAAAGGAGCGCGTGTCTGAAAGTCACGAAAAAATACATAAAGTCTGAGATGCCAAAGACGCCGCAAGCATCTGTTCCGGGCCATCTACCTGCTCGTGCCGGTTTGAAACCCTTGGTTAGCCCAGATTTGTCTAAGTTTAAAGTGAACAATGGGCAGATCGCCTCGCGCCCTTCGGTTGACGATCCAGCAGAAGCCCCAGTTAAAACAACCATCAGATGCTGCAAATAAACCCATAGTGGTTTCATATGCAGGGGGTTCGTTAAACACCCACCTGTGAGAAACCTCACAAGCTCCAGAACGACGGAGAATACCAGTTCACTCTCGTTTTTACGGACCTTATGACAAACTCCACTCCGCAAGTGGGGGTGGGATTCAAAAATTACAACTTTGGATGCGCCTCAGCAGGCGACGACTAGTCAGTCCTATTATGTTTAACAAAGTTCAGAGGCAAGGATATGTTGCTCGAATCACCAATAATGACGACTGTACTATCAGAAAAATAACTCAAGAAAGAGGATGTCCGAGCAGCAATTGAGTCCCATTTGCGCTGTGCGAGAGACTATCAAAGCCAGTGCTGACAGGAATGCGGTATTGCTCTAGATAATTCAACAAGAGTCCCGATATTTCAAAGATTGCTCCAATGAGGCAAAACCCAAAAATGAGACGTTTTCAACAAGAAAAAATCTGGTAAATCAACGGCATGAATTCCCTTGCAGGTCACTATTCAACAATTGACACAAAGGAAAGAAACATGTTTAGTAACCCTCGACCCTGATTTCTCTCCGGGAGGAGGTTAGAGCCCAGAGTCTTTCTCATTAAAGGATGGCGCGTTAAAGAAGAGCCCAACCTACGACGAGATTACAAGAAATGCACGAGGGGTTATCTATCGGACGAAGAATTATCAAGACACTTGCTTCGCTGTCGCTTCTGACGACACCACATCAGTGTTGGACAGCCGAGACCAGGAGAATCATTGCAATTAACGCCAGATCAATTGGCCTCACATGCTGCAGGAAGCGTTGGCTAAACAACACGAAGAACATTAGAGCTGAATTCAAACTGAAATAGAGTTTGACCATGCCAGCAGATGCGGGATTTGCAGTGTCAGCAACACCAACCGGAATCAAGCCAAAGAGGCAGAATCAGTCGGCGTAATGAAAGAGGATGAGAAAAAGATATTTGGAAGATCCTCCTCCAGATAAAGACAACTCGAAAGCTAAATCCGACCAATTCAGCCACTCAACCTCCACAAATCTATTTGAAGAAAAGCGAGGAATGAGGACAAGAAGATGCACGATCTTGAGAGCCCAAGTCAACGCTTTATGCCGGCTCAAGAAGTGAAGAAACGGGCATCCCATAACCCGGTACCCGAGGGAGTGGGACCTGATTCTTATCCCAGAATTTAATTTGATTAACTTTACTCCTTTTTGATGGCAGGGGTTCCCAACTCAGCACTTGTCTACTTTAATCGCCATCTCGCGCCCGCAATATTTTGGCGAACGAAGCCCTGATGCGTACCGTCCATTCGTAGGAACCACTTTCGCGCGGCCATGCCTTCGATTTCGGTCCGACGCCTTAAGCCTGGCGAGGTATCACTAGCTGGGCCAGACATGGAAAGAGTTATTCCTCACGCAATTTCTTCGACGACGACACTGGTAAGTCTCGATCGGCCACGTTGTTGATGAGAAGCCGAAGGAGGGCGAATCGGTGATGTCTTTGCTCAAAACGATTCCGGGACAAAGCGGTGAACTGCAGAGATTCCACTCACTGAGATTTTTATTCTGAAAACATTCATAATAACCTGTCCTTGGATGTATTAGAAGTGGTGTTGGGGGTTGTTCCCATCTAAAAACTTGCGAAAGAGATGAAAGTACAGAGTTCGCGAACAAGCTGAACGCCCTTCCTTAAGCAGAAATAATTTGCCGAGCGTAGGTTTGCCACCAGCCAAAATCAGAATCAGAAACAAAACTTTAATCCTCGGCGGCCCAGAGCGAGAGGAATCCGTAGCCGCTGTAGACAGCACACCAAACGTCACAGCAGCCGCCGCAGCCAACAACCACAACAATCATCCTTCCAGTTGGCCCGCCAAGTTCAGAATCTAACAGCTCAGAAGCCAGTTAAGAATTCTGAGCCCAGATTCCAAAGGAATATCTTTCAAAGATGATGAGTTCCGCCGTCATCTTCAAATACTTTGTTGAGAGAACAACAAGGATCAAGCTTCCACGCGTCGTCACAAACCAAGAAGAAGCAACGATAGATCAATGACCAAAGTATTGCTGCATATCACAGAAGGTATCCACCATCCTACATAAGACATGTTATGGTCTAAAGGATAAAACTTCAAACATTAATTGATGTTGGTATTGTGACGCCGAAGCCAAAG